CGTATGTGAAAACATACCTGGCAATAAAGCTCATTCTGATTCTGATTCTGATTCTGACATCAGCAGCGAACCGTACCGGAGTTCACATGAACCGTACCACAGACCACCCTTTTTAAAGCGGACTCGGGTACGGTTCGCGGGTGCGCACCCGAGTTCGGAAGACAGCGTTCACATCATCCAAACTGAACCGAACTCTGACGTCAATCGAACCCGGGTGCGCACCAAAAGTGCTAGTGTGAAAGCACCCTTAAACCCTTGACTAAAATATTCACAATGCAAGCATTTACATTGCTGATGGAATCTGAATTATGAACTTGATTTAATTTACAACAATGAAGCATTTTCACACAGAATTGAATTAACATATCACAGCCACATTATTGCTTTCTTTTCTTTTCTGTTCATTTGTTTGTTTGTTTCTTTTGTTCTTCCTTTTGTTTGTTTTTGCTGGTTTGTTTCATTCATTCTTTTTCTTTTCTTTTTCTTCTGTTTCTTGACTTTTTGTTAATTTGTTTGTTTGTCCCTTTTTTGTTCTGAATGTTTGATTGTTCTTTTTTATTTCATTGTTTTATTGTTCTTTGATTGTTCATTGTTTTATTTTTTCAATTTATTTGTATCTTTGTTTCTTTCATAGAAATCTCTTCATGCATGACTTTCTTTAATTTGCTAATTTCTTTCTTTTGTTCTTCATTTTGTTTGTTTTTGTTCTTTTGTTAATTTCTTTTTTCTTTTGCTCTTTGTTTCATGACTTTAATTTGTCATTTTTTCTTTTGTTTTAATTTTGTTTTACTTTGTTTTTTAGTTCTTTCATTATTTTTTGTTTCTTTTGTTTCTTGCTTGCTTGCACAAAAACTGAAAGGGTTTTCATGCAGACTGAACTAACATGTCATATTTTGTTTTCTCCATTTATTTGTTTGCTTATTCTTCTTTGTTTCTTTCTTTAGTTAATTTTCTTGATCTTCTTTCTTTTATTCTTCGGTATTTGTTTTTGTTGGTTTGTTTAATTCATTCTTTGTTTTCTGTTCATTTGTTTGTCTTTTTTTTTTAGTTCTTTCATTGGTTTTTATTTTATTTGATCAGTTTCCTGCTATCTTTCTTTCTTGATTTTCTCCTTTATTTCTTTTATTTTTGGCTGCATGGCTCTCTGTCATGCTGAGATGGATTAAGCAAGGTTGTAATATAATGGAGTCGCCATGGAGAGAAGCAGATAACTGTGTATTAGATGTGCGTCCTTGACCCCTGCCCTTGACCTCTGTCACAGGTCAGCGCTGATGTGGGGTTAAACACACATTTATTCATTGCTGTGTCTGAGATCAGGGCAGTATGTGGGGGTTTATGTGCGTGTTCAGTGACATATACACCAGTAGTCTGATTATTGTGAATAACAGTATTGAGCTAAATGTTACAATATGCTCTCTTCTGTCCCATTTACATGCCATTTGCCATTGTTTTTATTATTTGCTAAGAAATGTGATTCTTTTACTGTCGTTTTGTCACTTGTTTGCTAAACTACAACACAAAATGTTCTTGTTAAATGCAGTAGGTCTGTTTGTTTCTACTACTGTTTTTGTCCTGCAACTATAGTTTTCACTTTGTCAGAAGTGTCTACAATGTCTCCTTTCCAGTGTTTCTGACCAATCCGATCAATAATGCGCATGATGTCTGTGTTGCATAAAGCTTTAAGCATACTTGGCCGCGTGACAATTTTTTTAAACTTAAAGCAACTTGCACTGACATTTCCTAAAAGAACTACTTAAATGTCCTAATTTAACTAAGGCAAAATCCTGGCTTAATCTAAACCCTGTCTGTGAAAGCAGGTCCAAGTGATTTTCTGTTCTGCCATGTTTTTTAAGCAATGCATGCAACACTAGCACATGCGCACGTAAGGCCCAGTGATATATAGCTACTGTTATTATGGGCATAAACACAGTTTTGTGTTGACATGAGATCCAGCTTAATCACAGTACTGCCATAATGGCATTATAAGGCTACATGTAAAAACATGAACATGAATGAGTTCCTGTCCTGTGCAGGTGTTGATCAAAGAGCAGTGGATGAAAGACCTGATTGAAGACATTGTGTTTTAATGAAGGATTGTGTGATGTGTTTCATATGCAGATGTTTTCACCTCTTATTCACTGAGTTGCATCAGTATTTAACAGGTTTATTTGTTCAGATAATGAGCATGTTCAGTGTTTCCATGATCTTTTGCCACGCAAATCTGTCAAGAACATGTTTGAGAGTTGAGTAGTTTATGCAAAACAGCAAAATATGTTCAAATATCTTCATTTACCTGTAAACATGGTTGTTTACATTTAAAATGTGCATGTTTTAAAAATGTAAATATTGTATAATAAATAATAAGTAATAAAGTAATAAATACTGGTCAATACACCCATATACAAAGTGTTAATGTATTTCATTTTCACTATAGTTTACTCGAATAGATATAAATGAGTCAAAAAGTGTTGCAGTAAATTTATTATATTATTATATTATATTATATTATATTAATTATATTATATTAAACCAAATTTATTATTTAAATTTATTTAAAAAAGCTTTATTTTCTGTATGTAAATTTTAATTTAATTTAATTTAATTTGTCATGCTTTTTGTATTAATTACTTATCTCTAAAGCATGTTCTTGACATAGTTGACCTGATACAGCACAGAAACACACACACACACACGGTCATTATCTGAACAAATAAACCTGTCAAAATGTAATTTCTTATGATTTTTCATTCATTTTATTTTAGACCTGGACATGTTTTCATGAGATTTACCCATTTGCAAGAGCGTGTTTGTGTGGGCAGCATGTATTGCCATGTTTTTGGCCATGCTTGCATCATATGCCTACATGTTAATCCCGTGTGTGTGTTTGTGCAGAGCTGCCAGAGAACTGGACAGACACGCGGGAGACGCTGCTGGAGGGGATGGTCTTTCAGCTGAAGTATCTGGGCATGACGCTGGTGGAGGAACCCAAAGGAGAAGAGCTCTCAGCCGCTGCTGTCAAGAGAATCGTTGCCACAGTAAGACAAACACACATCACCAGCCAATGAAAGACTGAAATGAATGACAGGGCAAAGGTCATGTACACTTTTTAAATGTAGTCATTATGCTTTCTTCTGAGGCCTAAAATATGCTTTATTGTCCTCAAGTAGGATGATCCTGGAGTTTCACTTTCTGTCATCTTAACCAGACTACCATACACTCTGAAAAATAAAGGTTCTAAAAGGGGGTTAGAAGAGCCATTTGAGTTTCCTTGCAGTGAACAGTTCTTAAAAGAACCGTTTTTCTTAGTGTGAAGAACATTTTAATTCTCTAAAGAACCCTTTTCCACTATAAAAACCCTTTTGTGCAATTGAAAGGTTCCATGAATTTTAAAGGTTCTTCGTGGAACCATCAGTGTAAGGGGAAAATGCAACAAAAGTGTAGAGTTTGATGCCTTTAAGTAACATACACAGCTCTAATGTGTCTCTTATGCTTTGTAAGTGGTGCTAATGGGAGTGTGTGTGTCTCAGGGGATTTCTGGGTGTGGTTCTGTGTGTTTCAACAGGCTAGATCCTGTCATGACGTAATGTTGTTTTGAGGTTATTAAACACACTCCACATTGTTGCGATTCAGCAGTAAAAATCAGTTGCATACCGAATGGACTATGCAAGTCTGTGTGCGAGTCAGTGCATTCAAAACCAGATGTGGAATCTTCCTACTTGATAACTATAAATGTGATTGATTGTTTGACTTATTGAAGATGATGTGTAAGAAAACAAATGAGAGTAGGGATGTAACGATTACCGGTTTGACGATAAATCATGATAAAATTCCTCACGGTTAGTATTACCGTTTCATCTTTTAATTATCATTAAAACCGTATTAGATAACCGCGATTTGAACAACTCGCGATAAATAAATGCTTTCCAGCATAAAGCACAGTTTTCAGTAACAGTAACAGTCACACAGCAGCAGAGTAGTTTCGTTTTGAGTGAAAACAAGGTAGAAAAGCTGGGAGGTTTTAAAAGAGTGCTAAGGGAATTATACAAATATATGAATTAATTAATTATATGAACGTACCTCTGATGGTTCTGACTGTCTTCAGAAACGATTCGACGGCATTTTGTTTTCATCTTCGCTCCATGTAATACCTAAAAGGAAGTGTTCTTAATCGCAATACTGCTTTGTCGGCGGAGGTTACGGGAAACGGCTCTAATTCAGCTTTTCCATAAGCGCCACCTGCTGTTAGCGAGTGGATTTACAGAGACTTATATTTACATTCAGCCTGTGTGCAGTTTCTGTCTGGCCAAAAACGGACCGAATTTGTATGCCCTGCTGTAAATTTTGACCGGTTGATGAAAAACAAGCTTATGCGGATTCTACACATTTAAACAATACAGATGTTATCTAGAATTATTTATTCATTTATTAATCAATTATCATTTTGACATATCTTTTCTTTATTTAAAGGCTGAAATGTGAGGTTTACCTTTTTATTAAACTTTTTCAAAGCTTTATTTGAACATTTACATTAGATATTTGAACATGCTATTAGATAAACTGTTGTCAGTCATGTTGTCATTTAAAATCCGGACATCATTGGTAATGTTATTGTTTTAGTGATTATGCAAACAAAAAGTAATTTTATTTGTTGTTTGTTGATTTTTAAATATAAAACTTGGTGAAGTGATTTATGTGTTGGTACTTTTTTAACATCTCCAGCACATTTTAACAATACCGTGATAATACTGATAACCGTGATAATTTTGGTCACTATAATCGTGATTAGAAATTTTCATACTGTTACATCCCTAAATGAGAGTGCTACCTTTAGCTTAGCAGTTTAATTGTCAACAGTGAAGCCTCCTAGCAGCCAAATTGTGAAGGATAAATGATGCTGTGTTCTTCAGTGTACAGTTATCAGTAATTGTGACTTATCAGGGTATGACTTTCTGAATTCACTTAAAACATTAGGTGAAAATAAAGCATTTAAATGTTTTTTTTTATTTAAATATTTTTATTATTCAAAAATAAAAATTCACTCTTCTTCATATCAGATCCTATCAGATCATTCGGATGTAGTTTAGTGCATTTCAGTTACCAAATCAATAGCTCATAAAACTGCTATTCTGTTGTGTTTATTAAAGATTGAAAATATGATTGTTTTTAATGCATTCCATATTTTATATGACCAAGGCTTTAATTTTATCATGTTAATATAGCACATTTTTTAAAACTTAACATCTTATATGCAGTGTTATTTTAGTATTACTTACTATTATAGTATGTATACATTTTTTGAATGGGCTTTTATTTTGACATTTTCAGTTTTACATTTGACATTAGTAATTTTGTTTTTGCTTTTGTCATTTTTATAATTATTTTGTTATATTTATATTTTGCTTTAAATTATTATTATTATTATTTTAGTTTTAGTAATTTTATTACTTAAGCATTTTTTATTTCAGTTTGTTTATTTCGGAAACAACTAATGTTTTTTTTTTTCAAGCTGATTTTTATATTTTATTTTATAGCAGCCTTATTTTAGTTCAAGAAAGCTTTTAAAATATATTTAGTAAACAATAACAATAATATGCTCATTGTCCAAGATGCTGAAAAAACAAAAAATCTCATTTCTAAAATTTCCAAAATCTGATGGAAAATGGAAAATCTCTGATGAATATAAATCGTTTGATAGGTTCAGCAGGACAGCTGCTTGATAAAGCTGTGTTTTCTGTCTCTCTCTCGCAGGCTAAAGCTGGTGGGAAGAAGCTTCAGAAGGTGACGCTGAAGGTTTCTCCTCGAGGGATTATTCTCTACGACAGTGCATCAAACCAGCTAATAGAGAATGTGTCCATATACAGGTGAGTCACCTGCGGCTGTTTGACATGTTGCCCTGTCTGACACCGAGTCTGTGCTGTCTGTCTCTAGGGATGAAAATCATCAGGAATGTAGTGATTCGGCTTCAGGTTTCAAATGTCATATAATGGTTCCCTTAACAACTAGGGCTCCTAATTGGTCCCAAACATATAATCCAAAATACTAATATATATACATTACATTTACATTGTCATTTAGCAGACGCTTTTATCCAAAGTTTTTTGGTAACACTTTATTTCGATAGTCCACTTTAGACATTCTATTAACAGTAAGTAACTTTGCAACTACATGTCAACTAGCAGTTAGTAGAGTTTTAGTAGACTGTCTGCTTAATATCTTCTAACACTTTCTTTGTCAACTTATTCTACTAACCCTAAACCTACCCTAACAGTCTACTCTGAGAGTTAGTAGACATCTAGTTGCAAATGAATGAGAATTAGTTGACATGTAGTTGACATGTAGTTACAAAGTTACTTATAGTTAATAGAATGTCTAAAGTGGACTATCGAAATAAAGTGTAACCAGTTTTTTAAATGATCAAAATCATTGTGATATTTATGATGTTCAAAGAATTGCATATATATGGTTTACCCCATCTCTCTTTCAATAAAAAAAGAAAGGATTTGTTGTTGTCCGTTGAAATCCATCATTTATGGCGGTGCGACCTCAAGATTGCTGTGTTTTCATACAGACAGAGAGAGAGAGAGAGATGTTTGTGTCAGGATCCTCTATCGATCTGTGTCTCTGAGGCTCAGACAGACACACTCTGACCCTCACCTGGGACCGCAGCTATTATTGGAGTCTCGCATGCGCTCAGTGCGCTCAGACGCCGGCTGTGGTGTGTGTAATGAATAAACATGAGCGAGGTGTCGCCCAGCCGGTCTCTTCTCTCTAATTACACCAGCGATACTCCAATCATGTGGCTAATTTTCATGAAAACATGTCCAGGTTTCAATTCACCCTAAAATCAAAAATTATGTTCTGAAAATTAAGAAACGAAAATGAAGCCTACATGTAGATCCATTAAGATGATTTGCATTGTGACATTATTTTCATGACAAATATGCACATTCGCTCTTAAATTCTAATGTAGTGAGTGTAATGGCTTGCACAGACACTTGTATATAGCAGACCATCACGTCACCTCCTCTGAGATTTAAAAACGTGTACAAGCAGTGCTGAGCTCTTTGTGTTCAACACTCCATCAGCACTTTGACAGAAAGCTGACCCACCAAACCATAACACACACCCACACACACAGGATAGTTGGTCTGTGACTGCATCGTCTCTGGTTTCCTGTTGACATCTCTTTGTAATGTGCAGTAAACTCATGAACTCCTCCAGTGCTGATTTCTCCCCTCGGCCCTGAGTAAGAGCTGGCTCAGCCTGTCACAGGGCGGCCCCACAGCAGCAGGGGCGGGACTAATGACGGACGACCGCCATCTGTCCTGTTTCACATTTAAAAATTCACACACATACTGTACTTAGAGACACTTACAAAACCTTTCTCTGTCTCACACACAGGACCAGAGCATATGTATATATATGTTCTGGTCCTATTTCACAGTAATATTTCACAGTGTATATATATATATACACTGTGAAATATTACTGCAATTTAAAATAACTCTTTTATATTTGAATATATTTTAAAATGTAATTATGTAATTTATTTCTGATGCAAAATACTTAAAATTCAGAAACATTTCTTCGTATTATCAATGTAGAAAACTGTTGCTATGTGTGTGTATAACGATAATTAAATATATATATATATATATATATAACTCTTTTATATTTGAATATATTTTAAAATGCAATTATGCAATTTATTTCTGTGGTGCAAAACAGAATTTTAATATACTTATTTGCTGTGCAAGAAACATTTCTTTGTATTATCAATGTAGAAAACTGGTGCTATGTGTGTGTGTGTGTGTGTGTGTGTGTATAACGATAATTAAATATATATATTTAATTATCGTTATACACACACACACACACGTATAATAGAGAAACACCAGTTTTCTACATTGATAATACAAAGAAATGTTTCTTGCACAGCAAATAAGTATATTAAAATTCTGTTTTGCACCACAGAAATAAATTGCATAATTGCATTTTAAAATATATTCAAATATAAAAGAGTTATATATATATATATATATATATATATATAATTATCTATA